AACATTTGGATACATGTGTGAACTTGTTTTCAATTCTCTTGGGTATATACCTATGCATAGAATTGCTGTGACATATGGAAACTCTATGTTTAACATTTCAAGAAACCCCCAGACTATTTTACAAAGCAGCTTCATCATTTTGCATTCCCACCAGCAGTATATGAAAGTTCTAGTTGTTTCACATGCTTGCCAACACTTGGTATGGTCAGTCTTTTCCATTATAGTCATTCTCGCGGGTGTAAAGTGGTCTCTCATTGGGGTTTTGATTTGGATTTCCCTAAAGATTAATGACACTGTGCATCTTGTCATGTACTTGTTTGTTGGTCAACTGTGTGCTTTCTTTGGTGAAATGTTTATACAAATCCTTTGTCCATTTTAAAATTGGGTTGTCTTATTGTTGAACTCTAAGTATTTTTTTAATATTGTGGATAAGCCCTCTATCAGATATGATTTGCAAACATTTTCTCCCATTCTGTGGGCTGTCTTTTCACTTTTTTTTTTTTTAAGATTTTATTTATTTATTTGACAGACAGAGATCACAAGTAGGCAGAGAGGCAGGAAGAGGGGGAAAGGGGGAAGCAGGCCCCCAGGCGAGCAGAAAGCCCGATGTGGGGCTCAATCCCAGGACCCTGGGATCATGACCTGAGCCACCCAGGTGCCCCTTTTCACTTTTTAAAAAAAAAGATTTTATTTACTTATTTGACAGAGAGAGACACAGTGAGAAAGAGAACACAAGTAGAGGGAGAGGGAGAGGGAGAAGCAAGCTTCCCTCCAAACAGGGAGCCCAATGCAGGGTTTGATCTCAGGACCCAGGATCATGACCTGAGCTGAAGGCAGATGTTTAACTGACTGAGCCATCCCAGGCACCCCATCTTTTCACTTTCTTGATGTTATCCTTTAAGCATAAGTTTTCAATTTTGATAAAGTCCAATTTACCCAATTTTTTTCTTATGTCATTTGTGCTTTTCTTATGTCATTTGTACTTTGCCTAACCCAAGATCACAAAGATTTACTCCTGTTTCTTTCTCAGAGTTTTATGTTTTAGTTCTTTTATTTAGGTCTATGATGCATTTGAGTTAATTCTGGTACTTGATGTGAAGTAAGGTCCAACTTCATTCTTTTGCATGTGGATATCCAGTTGTCCCATCACCATTTGTTAAAAAGACCTTTCACCAGTGAATTGTTTTGGCGCCCTTGTCAAGAATCTACTGACTGTAAGAGTTTATTCCTGGACTCTCAACTCTAGTGCATTGTTATATATTCACCTTTATGTCTGTACCACGTTATCTTAATTACTGCAGCTTTGCAGTAGGTTTTAAAATGTAAGTCTTCCAACTTTGTTCTTCTTTTACAAGATTGATTACTCTGGGTCTCTTGTATTTCCAGATAAATTTTAGGATCAGCTTGTTAATCTCTGCAAAAAACACAGCTGGAATTTTGAGAGATTGCACTGAATTTGTAGACCAATTGGAGAGTATTTCCTATCTTAACAATATTGTCTTCCAATTTACAAATACGGGATTTTTGTTGTTTTGTTTTTAAGCTAGGGAGAGGGGGAGGGGGGTAGAGGGAGAGAGTCAATCTTTATACCCAGCGCAAGGACCATCTTGGGGCTCGAGCTCACAACTGAGATCCTACAACCCTGATTTTGTATATTGACTTCATATCCTGCAAACTTGAACTCAAATTTAACTTTTTGTGTTTTTTTACCTCTTAGAATTATCTACATACAAGATCATGTCACTAAAAAGTGTTTTGCCTCTTCCTGTTCAATCTGTATGCTTTTTATTTCTTTTTCTTGTCTAATAGCCCTCACCAGAACCTTCTGTACAATGTTGAATAGGAATGGTGAACGTGAACATCTTATTTCCTTTTTTTTTGTTGTTTTGTTTTACTTATTTACTTGAGAGAGAGAGAGAGTGAGAGAGAGAGCAGGAGAGGGGACAGGTCAGAAGGAGAAGGAGACTCCCTGCTGAGCAGGGAGCCCGATGCGGGACTCGATCCCGGGACTCCAGGATCATGACCTGAGCCGAAGGCAGTCACTCAACCACTGAGCCACCCAGGCGCCCCTTATTTCTTATGTTAAGTAAAATATTAAGTATGGTGTTAGTTGTGTGTTTTTGCTTTGTTGCAGATATTCCTTTTGAGGGTGAGGAAGTTCCCTCTATTCCAAGTTTGCTGAGTGTTTTTATTATGAAAGGATGTCGAATTTTGTCAAATGCTTTTTCTGTGTTGAGTAGTTTGTGTGATTTTTACAGCTTATTCTATCAATGTGGTGTTTGACTTCTGATGTTAAACTAGCTTTGCATTCCTAGTATAAATCCTACTTGGTAATAGTGTATAATAACTTTTATGTTGCTGCATTCAGTTTACAGAACAAAGAAAAGAGTGGATTTGGAGGGGTAAACCAAAAATACCCAGCATAGTTACCAAAGATAGTGATATAGTCAGGACCATCAATCCAGCACTCTTTTTCCACTAGCAAGGTAATCAATACTATGAGTATACAATTTGATGAGTGCAATGAGAGATATATAAAAATACAAAGACATGGTCCTTTAGCCTTCAAAATACTTATATTGTTGAGAGGAAACTTCTACATATGAAATAATCAGTAAATATTTAAAAACAGGACTAAAGTGTAGAAAAATAAAATCAAGGTAGGAATTACCTTATACTTCTTTTATATTCACATAGTAGAAGGCGAAGTGTTAGCTTCAATACTCAATGCCTACATTCCTGGGAAGGGCTTTTAAACTATCAAAGACTGATACTAGAAAGCGAAATTAGAAGAAAAGAATTGGGGTGCCTGCGTCAGTCGGTTAAGCGTCTGCCTTTGGTTCAGGTTGTGGTCCTGGGGTCCTGGGATTGAGCCCTGCATCGGGCTCCCGGCTCAGCGTGGAGCCTCCTTCTCCTCTCCCTCTGCTGCATGCTCTCTCTCTCAAATTAAAAAAACAAAACAAAACAAAACAAAACTTTAGAAGAAAAGAACACTCAATGGGTACTCCCTATGTATTTGGTGTTTGAATATATCATTTAACCAGGAACCATGGTTTAGTTATTATTCCTGACTTACAAATGAGGGAATTAATATTCAAAAAATTAAGTCAACTTTCTCATGCTTAAACTGGAACTAGGATATCCAAGATGTATCTGATTTTCCTAGGAGTATTGCTCTCTGTAGCACATCCACATGCCAGAAACATCTTAAAGCAGAAGACCTGAAGGTTAATAGCCTAGCAGTCAAGTCTCATAAATAATATTGATTTTGTTAAAGTTTGAGCAATTCATCCTACCTCTCACATCCCTAGTTAATCTGTATTTATAAAAATGAGATGATAACGTGACTTGCTGTTGTCTTTGGGAGATCATACGGTAAAGTCCAAGCATGGGGGAGGGCCAGGCCAAAACACTAAATATGATTATGTGTGTGTGTGATACTTATATATCTATATCTATAACATTTAAGTCAATAATGAAAACTATTTTTTGAAATATTTATTATCTTTACTGATAATCTGAACAAGCAAGAAAAGAAATAACTGAGGTCATTGTTGGTTTTTATTTTTATTTTTTAAGATTTTATTTATTTATTTGACAGACAGAGATTACACGTAGGTGGAGAGACAGGCAGAGAGGAGGAAGCAGGCTCCCTGCTGAGCAGAGAGCCCGATATGGGGCTTGAACCCAGGACCCCAGGATCATGACCTGAGCTGAAGGCAGGCTTTAACCCACTGAGCCACCCAGGTGCCCCACATTGTTGGTTTTTAATAGTTTGCCTCTCCTTTTTCTTAAATTACCCAGCAAATATTCCACATTGAAATTATACCTGAAAAAGTTGGGAAAGAATAGAACAGTTTTAAAAGTGAGGTAAGGGACTCATTTGAATAAAGGCAAAGCTCCTGCCATACACAGTTATTAGTACCCAAGTCTATGCACACTCCTCAGAGAGACCACACTACTAACTTTCTCAGGGCAAGCTCTTCATACTGTTCTTCAGTTACTCTCTTAAAATAGAAATGACAGCTCTATTACCAGTGTGTTGTTAATATAAAATGACATTATAAATATGAAAGTGATAGATAAAGCTAGTGATGAACGTCACAATTTGGGACCCACTCCAGGAAAAGCCTCTTTCATCACTGGAATCCATTCTCCCTATCTGTGGCCTCAGTTCAAAGAAACAGCTATTTTGCTAACATCAATAACCTCCCCAATTATTACTATAGGTCTTTGTAAGTTGTTAGATGAACCTTACGGCTAAGTCACTTCTCCATCTGGGACTAGAGGAAGAAGTAATCTGGTAAATACTAGAGATAACTTTTGCCTTTATGAGTCTGAAAACATTTGTATCCTGCTTCCCATGTATTGAAATTTTTATGCTGAACCATTTTACTCTGTATCCTAGTGTCTTGCCCATCTAATGAGTACATAATAAAAGGAAAAAATGAAAGAAAAAAATCTTCCCTTTTATATCTGGCTACAGACTGTATTCAGTGGCAATGTCCACAACAGACAAACTATGGAAAGAGCCCAGATGTCCACTGACAGATGAATGGATAAGGATGTGGTATATATATATACACAATGGGATATCACTGAGTGCCAAAAAAAAGGAAATCTTGCCATTTGCAATGACATGGATGGAACTAGAGGGTATTATGCTAAGCAAAGCACAGAAAGACAAATATTATTTGATTTCACTCATATGTGGAATTTAAGAAACAAAACAGATAAACATATGGGGAAAGAAGGAAAAATAAAATAAGAACAAAGAGGGAGGAAAAACCATAAGAGACTCTTAACTATAGGAAACAAACAAAGGGTTCCTGGACGGGAAGTGAGTGGGAGGGTGGGATAACTGGGTGATGGACATTAAGGAGGGCACTTGAGCACTGGGTGTTATATGCAACTAACTGATAATCACAAAATTCTACCTCTGATACTAATAATATGCTATATGTTAATTACATTAAATTTAAATTTAAAAAGATTACCAGAATAGAATGGAAATTTTTATTTTACAAATGAAAAAGCAAAATACTGCTATTAAATTGATCCTGAAGTCACACTCTATATTCATACCTTACAGTCCAGTTTTCCCAGTTCATCAATTAATTCCACAAAACAGACTAACCTCTGTCTGTGGAAGAAGCATACACCACATTTAACCATGATAATAGAGATGGCTGGCAAGATTAAACAAAGCAAGTGATTGTAGCTTTGCTCGAATTCTTTGTCTTCTTGGGAACGCTCTCCATGGCCATGTGAGACTCAAACTGTGACAGTCCTGGCCAGTGAAGAAGGTTAAAGCTGTGTCATAATTACAGACTACTCTTCTACCTTCATCTTGTGATATCCATGTCTCTCAGAGAGGTCTGACTAAACCAGAATATTCTTTGCAATAGCATTCAAAGTCCTTACTTGTGCCACATCTGTTACCTTTTGAGAATATTCTGAGCTAGAAAGAGAGGCTCCCATGGCAACAGAGAAATTTCTGCAACAGAAATAATAAAAAGATAGATAATTACATAAGTTGTTAAATGAGCCCTCCTACTGGTGCTTCATTTTATAATAGACTATTTAATGGTTCAAGAACATGGGTAGGTCAAGAATACTGGATCCCCATATTTCATAATTTTTATTAATTACTTGAAAATCTAGTAACTAAATTTACCTAACAATATACTTGATGTTATGTCTAAAAATGTAGTTCTAAGGCTCATGTTTCTTTTACATCTCATTTTCTCCATTCGAAATAGAAATAATAAACTACTAACTATTAAATTATAGGAGTCTTCTAAAGCATAATAAGAAAACACTCAATAGTTTAAATTTCTTAATGGTGGTATAGTTTCAAAGTAACTAAAAATAGCAAAGGTGAGAGAAGACTAAGTATTAAAGGTAGGAGGGATAAAAATAACTATGATTCTTCGATCCTTATACCATAGTTATTAACTCTGCTAAAGGAAATCACAGTTGAATGGACATCCATACATATCTGACTCATTTGAAGCTCAGCTGCTGAATTAGGGTTTATTATTAAGTGGCCTAAGTTCAGCAATGACTTAAAAATATAAAGTTCACCTATGTTCAGAAGAGCCTGCTTATGTGAGGCAGGATAAAACCATTTTGCAGTTGAAAAACTGCAAAAATGACTGCAATGCTTACATATTATTCAAAACATTCCATTCATTAATCATGCCATCAACTAAGGTTTTCCTCTAACAATGTGTAAAGATTAATCTGTCCCTTCTTGTATGAAGCAAAGAATACATTTTTACCGAAATTTCATTCCTGAATCTCTAGCAGACCGAGCAGAACAGTGAAATTCTGTAGCACCTGAACCCTCAAGGATCCTTTGTAGATTTCTGTCTGTTATACCACCCCCTGTTGGAAGAGTAAGTAATACATTAAGTCAAACAGAATTCTGTATAAAATTTAATGAATAATAGTGACTGCTTGCTCTACCTGAAATTTCCATACCAAAATTTCTCATTGACTCAAGAGTTACTCTCTCCCTACTAAGCTAGAATGAGATTAGAAAAAATGATAAAAGACATAGGCTACAGGTTCTGGAGAACAACTAATAGGGTCATAAAACCTTATGATGGAACCATAGTACCTGTATGATAGTATCTTCTACATCCATTGGTTTATATAATAACATCATATGATCCTGACTTTAAAAAGGTTGTTCTAGGGCAAGGAAAAATCACTGAGTGATCTATCCCTGCTCCCCCTCAATTTAAGCAAAATCAAATTAAAAAAAAAAGTAAGGATACGTTTGAGGATGAAGCTACAAAAGCACAGCCTGAGAGATGTGTCTGAAAGACACAAGTTCTCTCTTTAGCCCAAAAACACACAGACTTCTTTGGAAATTGGAGTAATGCAAGGTGTTACACAGTTAATTCATTACAATATCAACTTTGTTTTTCACAGAAGAATCTGATTCTACTTTACTAAAACTGCACAATCCGTACTTTTTAAGGACTCATTTGTTTTGTTGAATAATCCCTTAATTAAATATTTTTATATAAACAATCACATTCTGAACTGATGCCAGATTAAAAATATAAAATTACTCATCTTTATATTCTTCTTTCCTAATATACAGGACATATTCAATAAAGATTTTTTAATGACTGATTAAAATATGTACTTGGTATTTCAACTATTCAAGTTGCTGAAGTAACTTGACTTTACATACTCTTTTGGAATCATTAACTTGTTTGTTTTCTTTTTTCGTAGTGGTACAGTAATATCACTGAGCCCTAAGAAGCTGAAAGAACAAAGACTTTTTTTAACATGTGTAAAGATAAAATGTCATGACACTTTTCACTTTAAAATGTCTAAGGGTAAAAAACGACAACAATTGTGGCAAAATGTTAAATTTGGGGAATGAATATATGAGTATTCATTATGCTATCTCCAACTTTCTTGTATGTTTGAGAAAATTAATTTGAAAAAATTAAGATTATCTTTCTATTTGTCTCACTCTGATTCTAGATCTCCTTATTAATTCTTTAAAAATTGTTCATCTCTAGGGGCGCCTGGGTGACTCAGTGGGTTAAAGCCTCTGCCTTTGGCTCAGGTCATGATCCCAGGGTCCTGGGATCAAGCCCCACCTCGGGCTCTCTACTCAGCCGGGAACTTGTTTCCCCCTCTCTCTTTGCCTGCTCTCTGCCTACTTGTGATCTCTGTCAAATAAATAAATAAAATCTTTAAAAAAAATTGTTCATCTATAATGAGCCAGTATGCACTGAGTTTATCTTATGGTTATCATCAGGAGCATATGCTCCAATTGCTCTGGCTTTAAGGAAGAATTTGGTGATCAGAGATTTTCAAGAATCAAGTGAGTATTATATTTGTCCATAGATATTGCCTAAACATTTGCTTACACTTTGATAACAACTAGGATATTTGGCCCTAACTCATTATAGCAGTATCAAACTTGGTGTGTCTCACCAGAGATGAACATCCGTATTCACAAAATTCTATACTATGGGAGAGCAAACATGGAGAAACCCCAATCCCAAACAATCTACTTCTCTATTTGCTACTCTCTGAGCTAATTCCTGGTAGAATGTTTTCCTTATCTGAAGTTTTAAATTCCAGCACAGATCTCCCATCTTAAATTTTTAATCAAATTACATATTCTTCTCTCTGAATACCATGTATTAATATTTTCTCCCATATTGTCCTGCCTCCTTTGTTCTTCTTTCACTGCACCTCAGTTTACACTAACAAATGGATAGATAATTAAATACCTGGCATTACCACAATCCTCCCTTTTGCCTGAAAAAAGAAAAAAAAAAACAAATTTTAATATCTTTCTCTCAAATGGGGTAATAAGGCAGTGAGAACAGAAGCATGAGTGAAAGTATATCAAATTTTAAAAACTAGTACTAGTGTCTAACTTTCAATAGTCATCTCTATTTCTTTGGGATATTGATTAATAAGATGTTTAGCACAGTAATTCTTTCTATTGCTTTGAAGACTTGCACTGTGATGAACACAAAGAATAGGGGACTACAGTATAAATACTGAACAATCACATCGCTTTAAGAAAAGTCATTACTGAAAAATAACACTAATTCTGAGGGTTTTTTTTTTTTAACTAATTCTGAGTTCTTAGTATGGAGTGGAATGAAAACTGAATTTAAACAAGATTTTAGCAGAAAAAAAAGAGCATAGTGTAACAGTAAATTACTGGGGGGAAAAAGCAACCTCCTCAAATTTTGTATCTTCAACTAAATTCCCTAGCTTATTATATCAGTTAAACAAAGCCACAAGTCAACTTAACTGGATTTTAAGTAATAAAATTAGACTATATGAATTAATTTCTGATAATTCTGGATGACAGGTATTGAAATTCCCTTATTTGTATTCAAATGTTCATTATATTTCCTAAATACGTTTTGGGGATATACTCTGTATCACTGAGAGTCGAAAGGATATAAACCAAATGCAGATTTAGTAGAACTACTAGTAACAGGTAGGTAGTGATGACAGAATAAAAATTATACATTATCCACCAACATTTTCACAGAGCTATAACAACCAATCTTAAAATTTGTATGGAGCCACAAAAGACCCTGAAGAGCCAAAGTAATTCCAGAAAAGGAAAAAACTGGAAGCATCACGATTCCAAGCTACATTACAAAGCTGTAGTCATTGACATGGTATAGTACTGGCACAAAAACAGACAGACAGATCAATGCAACAGAACAGAAAACCCAGAATGGACTCACAACTATATGGTCAACTAATCTTCGACAAAGCAGGAAAGAATATCCAGTGGAAAAAAGACAGTCTCTTCAACAAATGGTATCGGAAAAACTGGACAGCAATATGCATTAGAATGAAATTGGACCACTTTCTTATAACGCACACAAAAATAAATCTAAAATGGATGAAAGATCTAAATGTGAGATGGGAAACCATCAAAATCCTACAACCTTGGCCACAGCAACTTCTTACTAGACACATCACCGAAGGCGAGGGAAACCAAAGCAAAAATGAACTACTGGGTCTTCGTCAAGACAAAAACCTTCTGCACAGCAAAGAAATAGTCAACAAAACTAAAAGGCAGCTTATGGAATAGGAGAAAATACTTGAAATGATCTATCTGATGAAGGTTAGTATCCACAATCTATAAAGAACTTATCAAATTCAACACCCCAAAAACAAAGAATTCATTTAAGAACTGGGCAGAGAATACATGAATAGACACCTAACAAAGACATTCAGAGGGATACCAGACACATGAAAAGATGCTCGACATCACTCATCATCAGAGAAATATAAATCAAAACCACAATGAGATACTGCCTCATACATGTCAGAATGGCTAAAATTAACAAGACACAACAACAGGTGTTGGTAAGGATATGGAGAAAGGGGAACCCTCTTGCACTATTGGTGGGAATGCAAACTGGTGCAAACACCGTGAATAACAGTTGGGAGGTTCCGTGAAAAGTTAAAAATAGAACTACCTAAGATCCAGCAACTGCACTACTAGGTATTTACCTAAAAGATACAAAAATACAGATATGAAGGGGTATGTGCACCCTGCAGCATTATCAACAATAGCCAAACTATGGAGAGACCCAAATATCCATCAACTGATGAATGGATAAAGAAGATGTGGTTTATATATACAACGGAATATTACTCAGCTGTCAAAAAAGAAACCTTGCCATTTGCAATGACACAGATGGAGCTAGAGTGTATTAAGCTAAGTGAAATAAGTCAGTCAGAGAAAGACAAATCCATATGATCTCACTCATATGTGGAATTCAAGAAAGAAAATAGATGAACATATGGGAAGGGGGAAAAGATAAAAAGGAGAGAGGGAAACAAGGGACTCTTAATGATAAGAGAACAAACTGAGGGCTGATGTAGGGATGTAGGCGGGGAATGGGCTAGGTGGGTATTAAACAGTGATGAACACTGAGTATTGTATGTAAGTGATGAATCATTGAATTCTACAGTCCAGAAACCAATATTGCACTGTATGTTCACTAAAATTTAAATTAAAAATAATTACATACTATGTCAAGCTCACTAATTTTTAGAATGAAACCATTGAAACTGTATGGAAATTGAATTTCTTCACGTGTGATTCTTTTTTTCTATTTTTATTTTTTAAATTTTTATTAATTTTTTAAATTTCTTTTCAGTGTTCCAGAATTCATTGTTTATGCACCACACCCAGTGCTCTATGCAGTATGTGCCCTCCATAATACCCACCACCAGGCCCACCCAACCTCCCATTCCCCTTCCCTCCAAAACCCTCAGTTTGTTCCTCAGAGTCCACAGTCTTTCATAGTTTGTCGCCTCCTCCAATTTCCCCCAACTCCCTTCTCCTCTCCATCTCCCATGTCCTCTGTGTTATTCCTTATGCTCCACAAATAAGCGAAACCATATGATAATTGACTCTCTCTGCTTGACTTCATGTGTGATGCTTGAGATGAGTCTTTAATACTGGATCAGCTAATTCTGTCCCTCAAAACAATTCCAAGTATTTTGCCTCAACTATGCAGCTTATGCTCTCAGGGTTGGGTACATAATCTTTCTTCTACTGGGTGCTACTGAACTATAAAATATTTCAATAAAGAACTACATATAGCTTAGTTTCTTTTTCCACAGAAAAAATGAAACAAATGACTAATATATTCAATAACTACAATTAATGTTGAGAATACTTAGTTCTATATCATGTCCAGTTAGGACAAATAAGAAAACAAAAAGATTGGCTTAGTGTGGGGAAGGGAAAATGGGGAGAAAACAAAAAGAGGTAGTAGCATGCCCAATGTGACAAGAGGGACAGAAAACGAAAGGAAAAAGAGGATATAAGAGGACAGAAGAGAAAGAATGGAGTAAAGTAAAAAATTAGCGAGCACCAGAAATAACAAATGCAAAGAAGGGAAGAGAAGCAGAAACTCTCAAAAGCAATGGTAGCATAAAGACAATAAAAAGGAAAGGTAATAAACAGGGAAGACGATAGACATTATTGTGAGTAGACAGAGAAACAGACATTCCCATACTTTTCAGACAAGTTACAGATACTTTAATGAGCTCTAAGTAACTAGCAGTGTAAAGTTAAGATAAGCATTCATTATGATTTTTGAGGATCTTTATGTAATAGCAACATACTCTAAAACAGCTCCAAAAAGCTAGATACATTATCAAAGTTTTCTTGTGAAAAGCATTCCAAACTTTTTTAGTTAAAAAATGATACACTGGTGCAAAAAAAGGAAATAGAGACTGATGAATTAGTGGCACATTATAATACTTTAAGGTATAAAAAAAAGTCTCTTTTGCAGATCTGAGGCAACAACTCATACTCTCTAATGAGGAAATCAGAATCCCCAGACTAGTATTTAAGTAACAGGGATTCAGTAAAAAAATCAAAAGTGACCTCAAAGTCCAACTTCTGGCACATTTGTCACTGAAAAAGCACATAATTTTTCATGACAGCTGAATTATATCATTTTGGAAAGGTAGCTCTGAAGTTACCAAAAAGGATTAGATTCTTTTTCCATAGAAAAAAATCGGTAGACTGCAATTTTATAAATTTTTCAGAGAACTTCCTTCTGATCATTTTTTTTAACCCTAATCAAACTGATCTATCATAAAAGTGTTTATCAGTGTCACTTTACTCACTCATCCACCCATCCAACAACTATGTATTAAGTGCCTACCACATTATCAAGCACTGTTCTGGGTATAGAGAATATTGTAGTTGAAAGGACCCAGAATATGCCACTGTGTCATAAAAATGATTTTGAGGGACGCCTGGGTGGCTCAGTTGGTTGGACGACTGCCTTCGGCTCAGGTCATGATCCTGGAGTTCCGGGATCGAGTCTCGCATCGGGCTCCCGGCTCCGCGGGGAGTCTGTTTCTCTCTCTGACCTTCTCCTCACTCATGCTCTCTCTCACTGTCTCTCTCTCAAATAAATAAATAAAAATCTTTAATAAAAATTAAAAAAAAATGATTTTGAGCTGAAAGCATTTGAATTCCTGAAATTCCTTATCTGCCCTAAAAGCAAAGCCTCGAAAATAACTTAAAAAGAACTCAATTGTCAAAAATCCCCTCTCTGGGAGCAACTCATTAGTACCACATCCAAACAGACATTGTCACAAAACTATAGTATCTTCAATTTATTCTCAGTGGGGTCCATCTATTTATCTTTCCAAAAAGTCTTTCTCCCCAGCCCCATAAATGCTCTTGTCTTCCTTTTTCTAAATTCCTGAGTGCCCTTCTCCCCACTCCTCTTCACTTCTTGGAAAGATGGTATATAAGATCCAAATTCTAAGCACCTCTGAGTTACATTTCTTTGTCAACTCCAATACATGTACATAGTTGATTAAAATCTGTTTTTCTCTCACTGATCTGTATTTTGTATTTTGTCAGTTTACTTCCTAAGCCCTGAAACAAAATCTAAGAAGGCAAAGAAACAGACTTTCCTCCCTGACATGGTAAACGAGAGAACATTCCTACTGTCATGGAGTTTACATGTTCATGGAAAGTAGACAACAAATAGGTATATTTATATAATAAAATTTTAGGTAGTAATATGTACAATGAAAAAACTATAAAGCAAGGTAACGAAATTAGAGAGTAAAAGGGGGAAGGGGCTAACTCATAGAATTTAATAATTGTTCAGAGAAATAAGTAGAATAAGACCATTTGGTATTCTCAAATGTATTAAACCAAAGCATCTATAATACAAAATATTACTATCTGGAATACTGAAATGATTTTAGGAGAAAAAAATCACATTTAACTCTTTCTTCCAAGTGAAAAATTTCCAAAACATGAACAAATGAAACCACCACTTTTGGGAGGGGGCTGGTTTCCATAAAAGATTATTGAGAACTATATGCTTACCTAAAGCTATCAAAGTGATTAACAGTATAAAGTACTTCCTACGTATCAGACTTTGTGCTGTTATCTGAAGTAATCCACAACTATTCTAGCTGGTAGGTGCTATTAATATGCTAACTTTGTAGAAGAAGAAACTGAAGTTTAGAATGGTTAGGTAATTTGCCCAGAGTTCTGATAGTAAGTGGCAAAGCCGGGATTTAAGCACAGACCTTTCTAAATCCAAAACCTATGTTTTAACCAGTATATTATACCACTAGGTGATTGCTTCAAAAAGTAAAGTTGGCATGATCTCACTTATATGTGGAATCTAAAAAAGTCAAATACACAGAAAAAGAGAGTAGAACACTGCTATCAGGAGTGAGGAGCGGGGGGATATGGGTAGATATTGGTCAAAGGATACAAAGTTGCAATTATGTAGGATGAATAAATCTGAAGATCTAATATACAATAACTATTAATATCTAATAACAATTAACTATTGTTAATAATACTACAGTGAATACTGAACATCTGCTAAGACAATAATATTTTGGGTGCTCTTACCACATACAAACACACAATGAACAATAACTACATGAGGAGATGGATATGTTAATTAGCCTGACTATAACCATTTCACTAATATTAATATCAAAATATCCCATATACCCTAAATACATGCAATTTTTATTTTATAAAAAAGAAGTAAAGTTAGTGTATGAGAATATTTAACCCAGTGCTTCCTGCCAACCAATGATAAACTACAATTCACATATGCAACACAGTGATTATGAAATGCAAGACACGACTATGGCATTATATCTACCTTATTGTCTCCTCCATAGTAACAATTTCAAAATGAAAACCTGATTCATCAGCTCTTCTATTTTAAAACTCTTCAGACCTCCCCACTGCCCCAAGGATAAAATTCAAACTCTTCAACAGTTTTCAAGGCTCTGGACAGTATTCTTTTCTTTGTATCCAACATTCTAGTTTCTTCAGTATGTCAGAAGTCACACTTACTTTTTTTTCCAGGCCTTTGTATGTACTATTTCTTCTGCATGAAGCAGTCACCTACTCTTTCTACCCATTTTTACATAGATCACTCTTAACCATCACTTGAATGAGTAAGACACTGCAATGCGTGTGATGTGTCTTCTTCTGGAGAGCTAACTACTGCTAACCCCATGCCCAAATATCTCAAATGTGCCCCCTGAGTATCTTCAAATTTGTTTTATTAAGTAAACTCTATCCCCAACGTGGGACATGAACTCATGACCCCAGGATCAAGAGTTACTTGCTTTACCGACTCATCCAAGCCAGGTACCACTTAGTACTTTTCTTTATAGCACTCTATTAGAATTACCTAGTCTATTAAAAGTGCCTGTTGTACACCAAACTGTAAGGGTAGTGACTACACACACACATACACACACACACACACGATGGTCATTACCATAGTACAAATGCCCTATAGCTAATATATACTTAATAAATATTTACAAAATCAGTAAGTTCCAGACTAGCAAAGTCACATCAGATCCTTAGCTGAAATTTCTGAAAATTATTTTCATGCCTATAGGAAAGTGAACATATCAGATTTCTACACAGGAACACTAAAAAATATTAGTAACAACAGCAGTAATAATAATGTAGCAAGATCTATTATACATCAATCACTGTACTAAGGCTCTTACATATCTTATCTCTACCAATCATCAGAACAACCTTATAAAGGAAGTAATAAACTTATCTCAGTTGCACACACAAGGGAACAGAGGCTTAATAATCTACTCAACATTACACAGCAAATAAGCGTCTGAATCTTAAATCCAGAATTTTCTTGTCTCAAAGTCTGTACTCACTAACTCAGAATGGTGCTCGACTGGTGTCAGAAAAAAAGAAGTACCACAAAGTCACCTTTATACTGCTCTACAAATGATGCTAAGTCATCTTGGAAATTCATACAAGAGAAAAATATATTTCTTCCTATCTTGATAGATAGGGAGAGATGATAAAATACAATTTTGTTTTAGAATTCACTTCCAAATGATAATTATTTCAAATTTTATATGGATCTCCTGAGTATACGTAGGCTAACAGTGAGATGATATGGCTTAAAACTATGAAACGCTGAAGGTAGACAAAAGGTAAAATTTTCTGTGGCTATCCAAGTTAGGTTAAATCCTTAAGCACTGTCTGTAATTTAACCTCAAGAGCCTTAACCACTAAAAACTCAAATACTCTTTCAAATGCTCATTTGAAAGAGGGGCGCTTCGTTGGCGCAATGGATTAATCATACGACTCTCGGTTTCGGTTCAGGTTGTGATCTCAGGGTCTTGAGATCAAGCCCTGTGTTTGGCTCCGTACAGAGTCTGCTTAAGACTTTCTCTCCCTCATTGAGATACCACCTTACACCAGTTAGAATGGCCAAAATTAGCAAGACAGGAAACAACATGTGTTGGAGAGGATGTGGAGAAAGGAGAACCCTCTTACACTGTTGGTGGGAATGCAAGTTGGTGCAGCCACTTTGGAGAACAGTGTGGAGATTCCTCAAGAAATTAAAAATAGAGCTACCCTGTAATGCTGCAATTGCACTACTGGGTATTTACCCCAAATATACAGATGTAGTGAAAAGAAGGGCCATCTGTACCCCAATGTATATAGCAGCAATGGCCACGGTCACCAAACTGTGGAAAGAACCAAGATGCCCTTCAATGGACGAATGGATAAGGAAGATGTGGTCCATATACACTATGGAGTATTATGCCTCCATCAGAAAGGATGAATACCCAACTTTTGTAGCAACATGGACAGGACTGGAAGAGATTATGCTGAGTGAAATAAGTCAAGCAGAGAAAGTCAATTATCATATGGTTTCACTTATTTGTGGAGCATAACAAATAGCATGGAGGACAAGGGGAGATAGGAGAAGGGAGTTGAGGGAAATTGGAAGGGGAGGTGAACCATGAGAGACTATGGACTCTGAAAAACAATCTGAGGGTTTTGAAGGGGCGGAGGGTGGGAGGTTGGGGGATCCAGGTGGTGGGTATTGTAGAGGGCACGTATTGCATGGAGCACTGGGTGTGGTGCAAAAATAATGAATACTGTTGCACTGAAAAAATAATAAATAAATAAAAAGACTTTCTCTCCCTCTCCTTCTGCCCCTTCCCCACTTCCCCATCTCTCTAAAATAAATATATCTTTAAAAAAAATAATTAACACTTATGTTAAAGAAATGAGAATTATATATTACTACCTGATTGCTTTTCTGTATAGGGGAACTATTAAGTCAGTAATATTTAGTAACCTAACCTAGCTAAACAACAGAATATCAGGAGCAACCACAACAGAGTTAGGAAGAAAGGAAAGAAATTATGCATACCTGATCTATGAGTCGCTTTATTAAGGGTAGCCCTTCTAGTGCTGAACTGTCACAGCCACTGGTCAATACTCGTTCAAATCCCAAGGTTAAGAGGGTCTCTAGAGCGGCCATTGGATCATGCACCATGTCAAAGGCTGAAATAAATAAAACTGATTTGAATTTTGTATAGATATCCTCTAATACAGTGCTTTTCAAAATGTAGTATACACACAGTGATGTGCTGGACTTAGTTCGTACTGGCAAGCCAAAGCTAATTGTTAAATATTCAGGAGTTTTGCAAGCACCATTTTTAATCCATTGATAGCTTGAAATCAGTCAAGGTGGGACAATTTAAACCAAAGAATTCTACAAATACTATATATATATTTTTGTCCAAGAACAAAATTATCAGCATACCACAGTCTGCATACCATAATGGTATGCATTTTAGATGGTAAACATTTTAAATAGATTTAAATAAACACAGATTTAAATAGATGTATTTACTTAAATACAGATTTGAAGTGAAACATTTCCATTTTTCATGAGTTATAAAAGTCTCTCTTTAAAATAATTCACTTAAGATTTTATTTAAAGAAAATTATTAAATAAATTTGCCACGTAGCACTCAGGTATGGTAAAACTATAAATAAGATACACAAGTGACTCAAATTTGGAAAATTCTGTTTTAAGGCTTCAGATAAACTGGACAAATTGGACCTCAGACAAATATTACACTGACCAGTTCTAAAAAAGGCCTTGGTTCACATTCTCATTATTGACAATATTTTATGCTATCCCATTTACCCCAAATACTTAAGGCTCACAGTATAAGGACAGTTGTTTACGATAGTCTATCTATATTCACAATTCCATTCTATTTTCTAAGAGACTTTTCTCCTCCTCAGAGAGGAAAGTGGCACTAGGAACCTCAAAAAGAAAAACTACTGCTTTGGTTCTCAGCACTGCTACATAATATGGAAGTTCTAATCTACAATGGATTAGGTGCTTGACCCCTTTACCCTTCAGTGTATACAGACAGCTAAATGTACCACAGAGGCTTTTCCTTTTTTTGTAGCAGTGCCTCACCAGTGATTAAACTATCATACTACCTCATTAAATACATTAGTGAAAAAAAATGTAGAACCCAGGACAAAGTAAAATTTTGAAAACATGAAAACATGTTTGTTAAATGTATTGAAGGAAAAGAAATTTGAAATGATTTTCTTAGTTTAAGAACAGAGAAAAATACATTCTACATGACATCTTTACTTTTTAAATTATTTAACATGTCAAACTTTAAACTACATATTTTTCAGAAAAAAGTTTACTAATTTAAACTACTTTTCATATTTAATGATTGCTTATTGGCCACTCTCAAGGTGCTGAATTTTAAACACTCTAACATCTTTTAGTTATTGCTAGTTTATGATAAACATTACTAAACAGCAAGTCAAGAAAACAGTTATCTGGTGGTATTATTCATTTCAAAAAGAAACAAGGGTAACAAATGTTTTATCTCTAATTTCTATAAATAGATGCAAATGCCAGTGCCCACCGTTATACTAATCTTTGAATGCTCACTCAAAAGGCCAGAAAAACATTCAACAATTTCTCAAGCACATATCATCAACTTAAAAAAAATGACTTAAGACTTCTTTCTTTTCATGGATAACAGAGTGCCCTCTTCAGGCAAAACTGTCACTTGTTCCTACATTTTACCAAACAAGGTTTGACAAAAGTGTACAGAAATTAGAACTACCTGATTTATAGGTAAGAGGTATTTTTTACATGAAATTATCAGATACTTTTTAGAAATCATTCTGATGCAGACAATTAATATAGTTTTATGCGCAACAGTGAACATCTCTTCATTGACTCTCTCCATCTATTCTGTCTTTCCTCCTTCCTAATAGTATCTAATTCTTATGTAGATATCCACCCCTCTCTCTGCCCATGAATCTTATATTCATCTGAGAAAGCTGGCTGTACCACTAGCTCCTAGAATGGTCTTGTCTGGCTTAAGCCATTCATTTCACTGGCCACAGTGGTTTTTGGTGGTTGCATATGGTCTAAGGCAATCTAATAAAAATGAACTTCAGGGCACCTGGCTGGTTCCATCAGAAGAGCATGTGACTCTTGATCTTGGGGTTGTGAGTTCAAGCCCCACACTGGGTGTAGTGGTTACTTAAAAATAAAAAAATCTAAAAAAAAGAATCGCAAAATTCTTGCTTGGACAAGTACATATACTTGTAGCCAATTCCTAATCTCTCCCTCTATTCTAATCCACAACCACCACTACTACTTACTTTTAACAACTTTTCATAACGAAGCTTCAAATTGTGCATCTCTAAATTTAAAACAGTCCATCCCAAGGTCAGAAAAGAAAACAACTGGCTGGGCGCCTGGGTGGCTCAGTGGGTTAAAGCCTCTGCCTTCTGCTCAGTTCATGGTCCCAGGGTCCTGGGATAGAGCCCTGCATCAGCTCTCTGCTCAACAAGGAGCCTGCTAGCCTGCTTCCATTCCTCTCTCTCTGCCTACCTCTCTGCCTACTTGTGATCTCTGTCAAATAAATAAATAAAATCTTAAAAAAGAAAAAAGAAAACAACTGGCAATAGTGTAATACTCCAGTATTGTGTTCCATAAAAAGGTTATGGCATTTGGTGAAATTAGAAAACTGACACCATTCAACAGAAGTTCTAAAATGGAAATGACTCACCTCGGTGGAAAGTGACTGGTAGAGGACGGCATATAGCTATAAAAAGAAAGCCAAATAACAATATAAATGAAGAGATCATCACTGATTACTATACACAGAATTTTCCATGTTAGGTGGGACTTTTTTATACTTTCCTTTCTTAGGAAGTAAAAAGAGTGAACTAAAATAACAAAATCGAGCCTTCCAAATTCAGAATTCCTATGTTTCCATTAATCTCCGATTTTCATACCAAAAAACAGTCATCCACTCCTTAGCTAGACCAAATAAAAATTATGCGATCTGGTGAGTACAAAGGCAGCATTATATCTATTACTTTTACCCCTCTGAGAATCTTCAAGAAAGACTTTGCCTAGTAATATAAGTAGTATGCTTCTATCCTCTCCACATCTCCCCATCCTCACCAATTGCAATAGCTTTTAAAGTTTTTCGTGTAGTGATTAAAGGAATCAAGGTAAACTTCCCTTAAGCCTTTGAGGAACAGGGGTGTCTGGGTGGCTCAGTGGGTTAAGCCTCTGCCTTCTGGCCAGGTCATGATCTCAGGGTCCTGGGATCGAGCCCCACATCAGGCTCTCTGCTTGATGGGGAGCCTGCTTCCCCCTCTCTCTCTGCCTGTCTCTCTGCCTACTTGTGATCTCTCTCTCTCTGTCAAATAAACAAATAAAAATCTTAAACAAAAAACCTTCTAGGAACAGTAACAGAACTTGATCTATAACAACTTAAACTTAGGAGTCATAGGACTAGAACACATATACCCTCTACTCCAAACATCTAGATAACTACTGCTTAAAATAGGTTAGCTTAAGTGCCTGCAGGTGTGACTGAAAAGCCAGTTTTCAGGAAAACTTGCGTTTTTCTTTATTTTCTTTAAATCTGAGATGACACACAATGTTATATTATTTTCAATATCAGGAGGATTAAATGCAATTATCACTAGAGGCTACATTCTTACCCACAAGGGACATGCACAACTCTTTGTCAATGTTTCCATCTTCAGTCAATGCTCCAAATACCAAACCATCAGCACCATAAAGCTTGGCAAGACGAATGTCAGCCTTCATCACCTCGACTTCACGATCTGAATATAAAAAGTCACCTCCACGTGGCCGAATCATCACAAAAACTGGGATCTGGACACATTGCTTCACTACTTGAAGGACACCTAAAAGAATAGAGAGCGGACTAATTAAATTCAAATGTAAGGGATGCCTGGGTGGCTCAGTGGGATAAGTGTCTGCCTTCAGCTTAGGTCATGATCTCAGGGTCCTGGGATCCAGCCCTATATTGGGCTCCCTGCAGGGAGCCTGCTTCTCCTCCCACCCTGCAGCTCCCCCTGCTTGTGCTCTCTCTCTTACATACTCTCCCTCTCAAATAAATTTTAAAAATCTTAAAAAAAAATAAAATTCAAATGTGAACTAACAGCTCAAGGAAGTCAATAAAATTTATTTTACATTTGCTCTTGTGTATCACTTCTACAAGAAAAGGAAGCAATGCTGAGGAAACCAGAGAAAGGAGGATCTAAAGGGAATGACAACATTAATTTTAAAATGTGTATATAATAAAAATTAAGTAATAAGAGAATCAAGGGTAAAAAAGAGCAATTTAGTAAAAAAAAGGAATTTACTGCATTTTTAAAAGTACTTGTCAGTTGACTAAAAAAAGTCTTTTTCCTGGGGGCACCTGGGTGGCTCAGTGGGTTAAGCCTCTGCCTTCGGCTCAGGTCATGATCCCGGTGTCCTGGGATCAGGCCCCACATTGCATCAGGCTCCCTGCTCAGCGGGGAGCCTGCTTCCCCCCTCTCTCTCTGCCTGCCTCTCTGCCTATTTGGGATCTCTTGCTTGGTCAAGTAAACAAAATCTTTTAAAAAAAAATCTTTTTCCTGGTGTAAGACATTTGAAAGTGTAATATAACAGGCTCAATATTCTGCCTGTGTATTCCATAAGATTTTTCCTTTCTGATTGATTATAGCTCTATTTAGAACTTACTAGAGATGTTTATATAGCTCTAAAGTTTATGAACCTTTAATGAACAAAGAAATTTATCAAACCTTTTTTGAAAATAATATAAAAAAGAGCAAAGTTCTACTTGTGAATTTATGTAGAGATCTATGAACAAAAATACCTAAATGACACAATTCATTGCTAGCTCAGAAACCCTCAATAGTAAAGATCTTCCATAACTTACACTGCAATTACATCTTATACTATAATTACATTACATTCTCTTAAGCTGAAAAAATCCTAAGTCAAAATGCCTTTAATACACCTAACGTATTGAACATTACAGCTTAGGCTAGCCTACCATAAACGTGCTCAGAAAACTTACATTAGCCTACAGTTGGGCAAAATCATCCAAGAGAAAGCCCATTTTATAACACTGCTGAATATCTCATGTAATTTATTGAATACAGTACTGAAAATGAAAAACAGAATGGATATGTGGGTACAGAATGGTTGCAAGTGTATCAGTTGTTTACTCTTGTGATTGCAAAGCCAACTGGAAGCTGTGGCTGCCCAGCATCATGAGAGTATCATACTACAAATGGCTAATCCAGGAAAAGATCAGAATTCAAAATTCAAAGAACAACTTCTACTGAATACATATTACTTTCATACCATCATAAACCCAAAAAGCCATAAGCCAAACCACCATGTATTGGGAACCAACTGTATAAGTTTTGTGACAGGCATGATGGATTTACTTCTTCTTCCTTCCTAAAAGAACCCCAATTTTGCATGGGACAACAATATGCCCAATACCAAGCAATAAATCATGATTGCTGTTACAAAACACAGATTGCACTCAAATTTAGGTATGTTCTAGAGATACCACAGAATGGCCAGGGAATGCTCTCCTTTAGTGAGAAGATTCCAAAGAGCTATTGCATATATAATCCCTTCATACTAAATAATGCTATTATCAACTTTAGAATAACACAGAAGAGTCAAAAATTCATACACGGACTTCTGCTTTTGACTAAGACAGAGTAACAGGGACTGGATTTACCCTCCCACCTATAATAACCAAAACACATATGAATATGAAAAATATATGAAACAATGGTTTGCAAGAGATTTTGTGTCAAGCAACAAAAAATAATGATGCCTGAAAGATGGGAAACAAACGAAGTCAGCTCTATAACTGGCCCAAATTACTACCTTGAGGATTTTCTTTCTTACTTTCTTTCTTTCTATCTATCTATTTAATGTCCTTAAGGGTTTTCTAGGCTGCAGCATAGAAAGGGGGAACCCAAGTGGAAGCCAGAGAATTCCGAGTTGAAGAGACAAAGCTGAGAGTCCAGGGAAACCAAGTGACTGGAGTTCCCAGGAAAGAACACCAGGGAGGACAGAAAGAAATTTTGGAGATTTGCAGAGAATCTCCCTTCAGTATTCAGCTCAGTATTATTAAGTGCATATATACAATGAATCATACAAGGCCAGGAAAAAATGCACTAAAAGAATTAGAAAAAAATAATGCCTTTCATTCACACCTGTCAGGTCAAAAATAATACCCATTCCCAACAGGCAGATAGGAAAAATTGAAGATTCATGGGGCAGTGGGTACAGTACACAGAAGGGTCTTTCTTCAGTAGTAGGAATAATTAACTTTAGACTGACCACTGTTTCAGACCTGCTTAACACATTTTAAAGGCAATACCCAAAAGGAACAAACTGTTTCCAAACAACCCAACTGCTTCCGAGTGTTTATAAGAATACAAACATATCCAGGATCCAATAAAGCAAAATTCATGTCTGGTAACCAATAAGAAATTATCAGGCAGGAAACTAAGATGCATCATGAGGTGATAAATCATTGAAATTAAACCAACCTAGAACTGATATAGATGTTAGAATTAGCAGCCAAGTCATTAAAACATCTATTATAACTTTATTCCAAACCTTCAAAAGAGTTCAGAATATATGAGATATGACAGATTCAAACTCCTAAAGATGAAAATTATAATGTGTGAGATGAGAAATATACTAAATGGGTTTAATAACAGATTAGACATTGCAGAGAAAAGATTAGTAAACTTGAAGACAAACCAACAGAATCTAGGCAAAATGAAACAGAGAAAAGGGAGATTAATATAAAAAGAGGGGTGCATGGGTGGCTCAGTTGGTTAAGTGTCTGACTCTTGATCTCAGCTCAGGTCTCGATCTCACAGTCATGAGTTTAAGCCCCGAGTTGGGCTCCATACTGGGCATGGAGGCTACTTTAAAAAAAAAAAAAAAGAGTAGTTCATCAGTGAGCTGTGGGACAACTTCAAGCAGCCTAAAACAAGTATAACTGAAGTTTCTTAAGGAAGGGGTGGTGTACACTGAATGAGGAAAATTTTCCAAATGTGATGAAAACTACAAATGCCCAGGTCCAAGAAACATGAAGAAAACTATAATCAGGTATATCATATCATATTGCTCAAACCAGGAATAAAGAAAAAAATTTTAAAGCAACCACGAAAAAGAGCCATTACATAGAAAAACAAAAAAACAAAGGTACAGATGATATTTCATATGAGAGATAACACCAGCAAGAAGACAGTGGAGAAACATCTTTAAAGTACTGAAAGAAGGAAAAAAAAAAAAAACTATTGATCTAGAATACCACACCCAGCAAAAATAACTTCCAAAAAATGGGGAAAGATGTTCTGAGATATATAAAAGCTGAATGAATTCATCCCCAGCATATTTGTACTACAAGAAAAATGTTAAAAGAATTACTTCAGACAGAAGGAAAATGAAATCAGATGGAAATACGGACATACATGAAGGAATGAAGAACATCAGAAATAGTAACTACACATAGGTAAATACATGATTGTTTTCTTATTAGTTTAATCTCTTTAAAAGAGATAATTGATTCTTCTTTTTTGGAATATTTATTTATTTGAGAGAGAGAGAGTGTGAAAGAGAGCACTAGTTGGTGGGGGAGGGGCAGTGGGAGAGGGAGAGAATCTCAAGCCCATTCCCAACTGAGTGCTGAGCCAAACATGGGGCTCAATCCACAACCCTAAGATCATGACTTGAGATGAACTCAAGAGTCAGATGCTCAACCAACTGAGCCACCCAGGTGCCCCAACTGGCTCTTTAAACAAAAATACTGGGTGTTATATGCAAATAATGAATCATGGAACACTACATCAAAAATTAATGAAGTACTGAATGGTGACTAATATAACATAATTTTTAAAAATGCAGTGTGGAGTGTATGTATTTTTAACATATACAGAAGCAAAATGTATGATAACAGCACAAAGACCAGGATGGGAGAAATGAAGACAAAAGTCAATATGCTGAAGATGCCAGGATGAAAAGATAACGTTAACAGTAACTATCTCTCAACTTTTTGATGTACAAGGATCTCATCTTTGAAGTTTATTTACAACCATAAGCACCTGTAACTAATTTAATATCTACAGCATTGTTAACATATCTAATACACACACACACACACACACACACACAAACTAATGTTAACATTGTTAACATTAGTAAAGGATCTCAATGAAACATATTTTCTATTGTCTCCAGGCTCTATAAACTCCTACCAGAAAATAGGGAAAACACTTAACCCATGCTGGGTGTGGTTCCTCCTTCCAGTAACCCAGAACATAATTCAATCCGACCAGCACCTATGTTTAAAAAAAAAAAAAAAAAAAGGAATTGCTCAATACAATAAACTTTTAAAAATTAAGAAAAATTTTAAGAAGCACTTCTCAGAAATTATCATCCATAATAAACATTTATGAAACAGTCAACTTAACATTTTTTCCAAATATAGAGCAGAGTCTTAGGGGTTGAAAGAAATCAAATTATAAAACTAGACTAAAACTTTATTTTTAATCCCAACTATATTCTGCAACTCATCTGGTGTTACTGATATCAAACTTAAGAGTTAATTCAAGTTAAGCTAAGTCTCTTGAAATTTTGTATTACAGGGTTTCTTCTCCATGTACAAGGATGTGACTCAGAATAAATATGGTCTGGATTGACAATAGTGGAACCCTGACCTTCACTGATAATCTTTTGCAAGAGTCTTTATTATTCTAAGATATATAAAAGTACAAGGTAATTTTAAATAGCTTACATCAAAATAATTTCAAGAATAGGTGAATGCTAAAAGCAGATTAGCCATCAGCCTACAGGGTCATGTCAAGAGAGTCTCAGGATCCAGGCTGAAGGGGCTCGTACCAGTCAAACATGGGACACTTTGAGAATCAATAAGAAGAATAACTATAGAGGAGTAAAACATATGAAATATGTCTAAATCTAAATTCATTGATGATAAAACAATTCACTGGGAGATAGAGAATAAACTCATTATCCAAAAATCAGTAAACAGGAAAAGGAGCAAGCATTTATCCTGCCTTCTAGAAACTGAACCTCAAGATAAACAGTTGATGAGGGAAAGTTCTTTATAGAAGAAGCATACTGCTAATAAGTGAAAAGTAAATGTTTGATGTAATATAGTACAATTTTTCAAACCCTACTAAAAGATGCAGTGCTAAAATTTTTAATTAAAAGGTGAAAAAAAACTTATAAAGAATGGATCAGGCTGACAATATCTTAGTCCACTGCAGGCCAAAGGCCACAGCTTTTTTTGTTATGACCTATAAGTTAAAAATGTATTTGTTTTTTTAAAAAATAAAAATTTTTATTGCTACATAATTCACATACCATATAATTCACCCATTTAAAGTATACAATTCAATACATTTAGTATACTTACAGAGTTTTACAGCCATCACCACAATCAATTTCAGAACATTTTCCTCATCCCAAAAAGAAACCTCATACCCTTTAGCAGTCACCTCTGTTCTCCCACGCCCCTCAACCCTAGGCAACCACTAATCTACTTTCTGCCTCTAAAATTTGCCTAATGTGAGGGGCGCCGGAGTGGCTCCCTGGGTTAAAGCCTCTGCCTTGGGCTCAGGTTATGATTTCAGGGTCCTGGGATCGGCCCCACATTGGGCTCTCTGCTCCACGGGAAGCCTGCTTCCTCCCTTTCTCCTCTGCCTGCCTCTCTGCCTACTTGTGATCTCTCTTTCTCTGTCAAATAAATAAATCTTTAAAAAATTAAAAAATAATAAAATTTACCTAATGTGGCATTTTGTACAGGTGGAATCATATAGCATGTGGTATTTTGTGACTGTTTTTTTCCATTTATAATGAATTTCAAGATTCATCTATGTTGTAGCACATATCAGAACTTCACTCTTATTTTATTGCCAAATTAAGAACTGTTTTTACATTTTCAGAGGATTATTTTAAAAATACAAAGAATATTCCATGAAGACCAAATGTTGCCGGTAAAACTGAAAATACATACCATGTGGCTCTTTTTTTTTATTTTAAGATTTTATTTATTTATTTGACATACAGAGGTCACAAGTAGGCAGAGAGGCAGGCAGAGAGAGAGGAGGTAGCAGGCTCCCCGCTAAGCAGAGAGCCCAATGCGGGGCTCCATCCCAGCACCCTGAGATCATGACCTGAGCCGAAGGCAGAGGCTTTAACCCACTGAGCCACCCAGGCGCCCCTATCATGTGGCTCTTAAAAAAAATTATTTACTTATTGAGAGAGCATGTTCATGCACACATGACAGCAGGGTAAGCAGAGAGAGAGGGAGAAAATCTCAAGCAGATTCCTTGATCCTGAGATCATGGCATGAGCTGAAATCAAGAGCCAGATGTTTAACCAACTGAGCTACCCAGGCACCCCTATACTATGTTGCTCTTTATAAAAAGTGTCCTGATTTCCTGATATAGTTGAAATATTGGCCATGTGCTAAAACTAGCAGATGCTGAGTGATGAGTACATGGGGATTCAATATACTATTCTACTTTTGTATATGTTTGAAATTTTCCATGATAAAAAGTCTTCACAAATTTCTGACCCTGAGATGAGGGGAATGTCTACATTTCCCCCATTAAAGCAGGTTCAGAATGCAAAACAAACCTGGAGGTAAAACAGATAATGTTAAAAAAAAAAAAAAAAAGATAATGGGGGCACCTGGTTAGCTCAGTTGGTTAAGTGTCCTCCTACAGTCAGGTCATGATCTCAGGGTCCTGGGATTGAGCCCTGAGAGCAGGGAGCCTGCTTCTCCATCTACCTCTACCCCTCCACCCACTTGTGCTCTCTCTTTTGCTCTCTCTCAAATAAATCTTTTTAAAAAGAAAGATAATGATAAAAGTCTTGATGATGAAAATGGCAGCAAAACTCTTAAATCATCTTTAAGTCAACAGTTTGAAAAAAAAATGAAGTCTTTGCTAAGTTCAATTGAAAAAACATGAAGTTGGTGAGTAAGCACTATTATGGACACTTGACTCAAAATGTGATCTATTGGAGGAGTAAGATTAGAAGATGATAAAGATGACAATTTTCCAGTATGTTTTCCAGTTGGTTGGCTGTTTTCAAAAAGATTACTAAGATCCTTAGAGATCACAAGGGCTCCCAAGATCAGTTCATAGGATTCCTTTTCAGACTTTTTTTTTTTAGAGGGAGAGAGAGGACAGAGGGAGCGGCAGAGGGAGAGGGAGAGAGAATTCCAAGCATGCTCCACACCCAGTGCTGAGTCTGACCTGGGGCTCAATTTTACAATCCTGAGATCATGACCTAAGCAGAAATCAAGAGTCGGATGCTTAACCAATTGAGCCACCCAGGCACCCCCATTTTCAGACTTTTAGAAGGATTGCCAACTGTCATTCATTCTCTCTTGTCTTACCTCCTCGTTCTGCATTTACAGCTGACTCTACTGAATCAACACACACTTCCATGAGAAATCCATTTGCTGTTCCTAAAACACATAGAAAGCAATGCAATTCATGATGGTACTATCCATCCAGACCAGTTGACAACCATTATTTTATATTTTGCTGCCCAAATCCAATGTCCAATAATAGGCAAGTAGGTAAATACACTAGAGACCATGAATGCAATAAAATACCACACTGAGTATTAAATCGGTCGCTTAACTATGAAATAAGTATACAGACATATGTATAATAAATTATACTGAAGAAAATATACACTGAATGCCAAATTAATCTTCCTAAAACACAGCCCTCATCATCATATTCTAAGTCAGATTTTTTCAATGTTTCTCGATGTTTTCAGAGTATGTTTAAATATCTTTATAAAGATATGTTTAAGAACAAGGATGGACTTCAAATCTTGACCCCACTACTTATTTGTGTGATCCCAGACAAGTTACTTAGCTTAAGTTTTCTATAAAATAGAGTAGCTTTTAGAACCTACCTCAGAGTAGTGAGGACTAAATTCAATTAATGTAAAGTGGCGAGTACCCATTGTGTGTACAAAAAGTTATCATTAATAAATGACATATTATTTCCTCTATAAACCTCCAGTTCCCCTCAATTCTCATCTTTGCTCTTGCTTATACCATCTCCCCAAACCACAAAGTCCTGCCGGCTCCATCTTTGAATGGTAAAATCTTCCAAGATTCATATTGAATCACATTTTCATATCTTCTCTCTCCCAAAGTAGGGATCTCCCTCTTTTGAACTCATATAACTCTTCATAAATTATATGTTCCTCTTTAAAACACTAATTGTATCTTCTTAAAATACTAATTACTTTCTACCTCTTATTATTATGTATGTAGATAGGTATCTGTTCCATTTTACTTGACCTAAAGTTCCTAAGGTTTTTATGTGAGAAATCTTCATTATCACCTACAACAAGCACAGTGTATACCTTGGTACACAGTAGTCATGCAAAGACTTACTAAAGGCTGAATAATATAAATTCACAAATTTCATTCATGTATTTACACTAAAAGTGTGATGAAAATAAGTTTGGATACTTAAAATATTGGCCATGTGCTGAAACTAGCAGATGCTGACTGATGAGTACATGGGGATTCAATATACTATTCTACTTTTGTATATGTTTGAAATTTTCCATGATAAAAAGTCTTCACAAATTTCTGACCCTGAGATGAGGGGAATGTAAGTTGATTTTTTTTTTCTGTAAGTTGTCTTTCTGTAAGTTGAATACATAAGTTTTTTGTTTTGTTTTGCTTTTTTACAATTAAGGGTATTAAATGTATACTTCATGCAGTAATACCTAAAAGAATCACTACGTGCTGATAATGATGGCTATTAGGTGGTAAGATTTGGAATTACTTTTACTTTTCTCTTTTTACCTTTTTTTTTTTTTTTTTTAAAGTAGGCTCCACTTTAAAAAGCCCAGCCTGGAGACCACTGTGGAACCCAAACGTCAGGCTGAGATTAAGATTTGAGCTGAGATGGAGAGTCTGATGCTTGGGATGCCTGACTCTACCTCAGGTTACGATCCCAGGGTCCTGGGATAGAGCCCCACATTGGGCTCCCTGCGCAGGGAGCTTGTTTCTCCTTTTCCCTCTGCCGCTCCATCTGCTTATATGCTCTTGCTCTCTGTCAAATAAATAAATAAAATCTTTAAAAAAAAGTCTGCTGCTTAACAAACTGAGCAGCCTAGTGGATCCTCCTCTTTTTACTTTTCTATGTTGCTTTTTTCCTACCCAATATTGCTTTTACCATTTTTTAATAGGCTTTTTTAAAAAAGATTTTATTTATTCATTTGACAGAGAGATCGAGAGAGAGCACAAGTAGGCAGAGCAGCAGGCAGAGGGAGAGGGAGAGGGAGAAGCAGGCTCTCCGCTGAGCAGGGAGCTGGATGTGGGGCTCGATCCCAGGACCCTGGGATCATGACCTGAGCCGAAGGCAAAGGCTTAACCAACTGAGCCACCCAGGCGCCCCAAAAGGCTATTTTTAATTTGAAAAACAAACATCTATCATCTGCTTACATCAAACTGCAACACTCTCACTTATTTAAAAGAAGACTGTCAGTCTCACACTGTTCAAGACTTAAGAGCCACTCTATGTTCTTAACCAAGAGTACTGCATTCATTCCAAGTTTCCAGAGAGCCACCCACACCAGCTGTCCCATCAGACTAACTGGACAGTGCTGCATAGGTACCACTTGCCTCACAGGAGGAAGGACTTTGGCCAGGAGAGGAGGGAGGCGCACAGGGGAGGCTCTGACAGAAGGCAGAGTAAGTCAGCTGTCCAGGAAACAGTTATTTGTAGGAATCAAAGGCGTCCATCCGCTCCACAAAAAGGTATTTGTTTGGAGCAGCAGTTCTCAAAGTGTGGTAGTCCAGTTAGCTCCAGGGGCCTTTAAGACCCTGTCAGAGTCTGTGCCATGACAAGCATTTTCATAATAATACTGAGACTTTATTTGCCTTGTTCACGCTCATTCTCTGACAAGTGGTGTGGAATTTTCAAGCGGCTCCCTGCCAGGTCAGATTGAATGCAGAAGTAACAGTTCCATTAACCTAGATCTTAAAGAGATTTGCAAAAATATATAAAACACTGGCATTCTATTTGTTTGTTTAGGAAGACAGTTATTTGTCACACACTCACAATGTGATTTGTGCTAACACGTAATGGGTTCCTAATTAATTAATATTTTAAATTTTCTGTTTTAACTTCGTATAGGAGCAACACCAATAGACTCAGCCTATATAAGTAAAACGTCTCTGAGGTTCTCAATTAACTTTTAGGAGGGGAAAGGGGTCCTGAGATCAAAAAGCTTTCCTGGTCCACAGGAACCAAGAGTTCAGGTGCGGGGTGAAGGGGGTTCTGCCAAATCCCCTAGCACCTGCCACGCCGTCCCGCCTGGCTCAGCAGCAAGCACTCGGGACTGGGGGCAGTCACAAGCTCTGGCACCCGGCAGCTGTGCAGCTTTGGGGACAGTCCTCACCTCCGCCGCAGCAGCTACAGGTTACCAAGCGGTCACCAGGGGTTGGCACGGAGCTCAGCGCTCGGCATCTAACTGTCCCAACGACGCCACGGGGTGGGGACTGGTAGCCTCGCGTGGCGACGGGGAACGTGAGGCTGAGAGAAGTTAACCAACTTGAACACGGTCGCACTCTAAACGTGGTGGCGCCGGGATTCGAGGCCACACGTCTGGTTCCAGAGCCCGGTCACTCTCGCTACAAGCCCCTTCTCAGGCCCTCGGGTTCCCGGGTTCCCCACATTTAGAGCCAGAATGACAGAACGTGCCCCGCGGCGAGCTGCGAGGGGGTGGGCGAAGTGCTGTGAGAGAAATCGCGACATCACTGGCCAGAACTCCCGCAGGCCCGCCCCGCGCTGTCAAGCCGGACGACCGCCCCCTCCCCGCCCCCTTCCGCACCGGCTTTCCCGGACGGTATGCGCGCCCGTTTCCGCTCCGAGGAGGCCCCCTGCCTCTTCATGCTCGATGCGTTCCTCTCTTCTGCGTCTTCGGTTTCTACCGAGTCGGAGTTCCGGCGCGCGCGCGACCAAGCAAGCGCGCCTCACGGCTGCGCGCACCTCTGCGCGTCCCCGACACCCAGACCCAGCAGCCCCCGCGAGAGGAGAGTCGCTGACGCAGTCGCAGTCGCTTCTTGCCTTCTGAGAAGGAGGGGTCACGCTGTGTGACCCGGAAGTGTCTCTTTGTTCAGTGGTGGAGAAAGGAGACCACAGAGAGCTGGGGTTTGGACGTGGTTTCTTTGCACTGTCTTCAGTATGCAGCGATTACTCTCTCCGCCCCTGAAGGCCTTGGTGGGGAGCCCGTGTCTCCGGCTCCTTGTTCCTAGGGCGGCGCCTAGAACCCAGGTATTGCACCGCAGAGGACTCGGTCGCGGAATCGTACAGGAGTCGAGAGTCAGGAGAAAGATAACAGATAACCCCACATCACATTCCCGTAGTTCCTTTAAATTCACAGCGCATTTCTTTGTACCCAGAGTTCCTGAGGTAGGATCCGGACCTGCCACTTACTGGCTATATGGTATTAACCAAGTTAAGTAACCTTTCTGTGCCTTAGTTCCTTCCATCTGTGAAATGGGAATAGCAATACCAATACCTACTTCGTACGGTTGTGGTAAGAGTTAACTAATTTCATATACAGCAAGCGTTTAGCACATAGTAAGAGCTCAGTAATTTTTACCTATATATTTGGTTTTTGCTAAAAGTCCCCACGTAGCCAGGTAAGGAACTTATAACCCCATTCCACAGAGAAGGAAATTGACGCTTAATTTAAGTTCACTGAAGTTAGGAAACAGAACACAAATCTTTAGACTCAGGGACAGAGTCAGAAGAGGACGTGCATTCGCTCAACAAATAATTATTGAGTGATTATTATGTCTTGGGAGCTGGGAAGCAAAAGATAAATACCAAGAGGCTCCTGCCCTGGAGGAAAGCACAGTTAATTCATTTGTAATTCATTTGTCAAATCTTTATTAAGGTCTTGTTGTGTAAGGGAACTGTGTTAGGAACAAAAGTGTCAGGAGACAAAGAGCCAGACTGACCAGACACTTCTGTCCTGCAACTCAGCTTAGTGGGAGATGGAAACAAATAAACCTGAAGTACATTATCATGTTTTAAGGGCTGAGATAGGAAAGGTACAGTGTACTGGGGGAATGACCTGTTGCAGACCCAGGAGAATCTAGGAATATTTCCCAGAGGAGGTGGCATCTGAACTGAGATGTATTGTAGATATTCTCAGTAAGGAGGCAGGGAGCATCCCATTCAGCAAGAAAGAAAATAATCCATATCTAGGTGTCAAGTCTGGGGGAAGTATGCAGAGACCAGAAGGGTCATGTAGTGTGGGAATGGATTGGAGTGAGGCAAAACTAGAGCAGAGCCAGTTGTGGGCTGGATGCAGTAATCCAGATAGGAGATGATGATTTACTAGGGCAGAAGCAGTGGAGATGTGGCCATACAGGGTACTCCAGTCTAAACAGAGTGGGATTGTGTTTGAGAACAGTGGACTGAGGCCTTTCCCTCTGTCGCCAGTTGTAATTTGTCTGTCTTGATCCTTAGTGTGGTTGCAGCTGTGGGATCAGGCGCTCCCTGAGGCCAGGGCAGTACAGCACCATCTCTGAAGTAACTTTGCAATCTGGAAGGGGTACAGTGTCCCTTCCCTCAAAAGCTGCTGAGCGGGTGGTAGGTCGATGGCTCCTGGTCTGCAGTGGAACAGTGGCTGGAGCAGTTATTCTTGGTGGAGTGACTAGGTGAGTAATTTGCTTGTAGCGAGTCAGCTCTTTGGGTCATCGGTAGAAGCACAGGATGACCAAGGGGGAAGGGACCTTGGGAATCATCTAGTCTCACTCCCTCATTTTATATATGTAGAAACTGAGGCCTAAAGTGGGACATGTCTGAGGGCTTGCCTGCCATAGAACAGTTTATAGAGTTATTATTGGGAGCCCTTCATAAAGCCTGGTTTAGGTCTTACCTGTTTGCTGTGCATTATTTGTATATATTTTCCCTCTACAAACAGTTTTCAAGTTTGTCTCAAAAATTAAAAAAAAACAGTTTGTTTGAATTAAATGCACATAAACGGATCACAATTGTATTGTATGCCTCTTGGGTCCCTTTAAATCTGTGGATTCTTCTCCCTCCCTCCCCCATTTCATGTAGTTTTTTGTTTTTTTTTTTCTATTAAAGAAATGTAACTGATTGGTCCTATGGAGTTTCCCAGTCTGGATTTTGTTAACTGCATACTTGTGGTGGTGTTTAACATGTCCCAAAATCCCCAGTATTTCCTGTAAACCACTTTTTGCTTGATCAGATTCAGGTTGGGAGCAGGGGCAAAATACTTCACAAGTGATTACGACATTCATAAATATCTGGTGTCCATTAGAGATGCCAACAGCCATTGATGATCATTGCCTAGATCCATGATTTTATTACAGTTGCAAAACTGTAATATTTTATTAGCTCAACTCTAAAGAAAAACTTGCCCTCATCAACAATTTTGTTATTGTAAGGTACAGTTTCTATAAGAAAGGCAGGATAAATACTTGAATCTTCCTCTTAATTTACCATTTTTGAAAGTAATAAGTTGGATTCCAAGCATCCTCCAAAGGTGATCAATAAAGGGTTTGGGTTTTAAGTATTATAAGTTCATAGGTTTAAGTGTATTTGATGTTTCGATCCATTGCCCTGATGATTTGGTCAAATTGTTCCGTCTTTAGTCAATGAGAGCCTCTTCAAATTGCCTCCTGAGTCTTTTGGACAGAATCCTAGTAACTAAATTCTTTCCTTTGTGGATAAGATATTCCAGGTTCATCTTATACATTTGCTGCTTCCGACCTAAATCAGGCTTTCACTTTAGAGACACACACCTTTTGGTGAAAATACCTTCTGGTGTTAATACAGTATGTGTTCCTCAAATTCTCTCCACATTCCCTGTACTCTTATTTCAAAATACCGTATGTTATATAGACTGTTATGGGAAATTGTGACAAATTTAAGTTTTATTAGCTTTAAATTCACTCAAGAGTCTAAACTGTTTTATATCTGCAACAAATCTCTTTTCCCTCTGTAAATAATCCCTCTGTCACTTATTCATTGAGGGCACATTTCTTTGCTCTAAGGGTTGATTTTACCTGTTAAAGAATGCTAGTAAAAGAAAAAAGTAAAAAGAACTGAATTAAAGGATCGATAGAACAAGGAGTAAAGAAATTTGTATCTGATGGCAGCTGTTTCTGGTGAAATTTTAAGCAGTAAGAAGAAAGCAAGGTGTCAAAAAAGAATACACTAAAATGATATGTTTACCTTTAGAGGGGTTAAGTTCAGATCCATTTGGTTCTATAAACCATTTATGAGAAATCCGGCATTGTGTGTGCACGTGTGTGTGTGCATGTATCACACACACTTCTTTCCTATCTTAAGGTTGACAGAGTCTGGCCTTTCAATGGTAGACTGGCATTTGATAAAGGAGATGAAGCCACCTACTAGTCAAGAGGAATGGGAAACAGAATTCCAAAAATATCAGCAATTTCCGGAATTTAAAATGTAAGTATAGGGGCCTCTGGGTGGTTCAGTCAGTTATGCATCTGCCTTCAGCTCAAGTCATGATCCTGGGGTCCTGGGATTGAGCCCCATGTCAGGCCCCCTGCTCAGCAGGGGAGTCTGCTTCTCTCTCTATCCCCACTAATGCTCTCGCTCTTTCTCACTCATTTTCCCTCTCAAATAAATAAATAAAATATTTTTTTAAAAAGTAAGTATAATAGAAAATCAAGTAAATATCCCACGAGGCCCTTTCAATCTTTTGCTTATTTAAACATTTTAGTATGGTGAGATTCCATTGTTTCTCGATATTTGCTTCAGTTAATGTTTAGTGAGCTTCCTACTCTAAACCTCCAGTTCCAAAGTGATCCTGACATCACTGATGAGGAAGAAGGCAGACCTTTCATTTCAAGCTTTGAAACTGAGAATGCTCCTGCATTCTGTCTGGAAATAAAAATCAGGATGTTTCTTCTTTCTATTTTGACTTCCCTTTTCACCCAGCTTGAATCATGATATGACACTGGCTGAGTTCAAGTTCATCTGGTACATGGAGTACTCACACCGAATGTGGGGTCGCCTTGTGGGCCTCGCATACATCCTGCCTGCTGCCTACTTTTGGAGAAAGGGCTGGCTCAGCCATGGCATGAAAGGACGTGTTCTTGCCCTATGTGGGCTAGTCTGCTTCCAGGTAAGATTTATTCAAGTTTGGGAAGCCAGAGATGCTTCCAGGAGCTCCCTCGTTGGGATTGTTTTTAAGGAAGGAATCTGAGTCTGTATAACAGAGTAGAAAAGAGGATGAATTTTAGTGTTACAGGCATGGCCCAGCCCTGTCACTTAGTAGGGTAAGTTCTCTACCTTCTGCAGACAATGCTTTCCTTACCTGTAAATAGGGATAATCTTAGTGCCTACTGGTTAGCTTGTATGACTTAAATAAGATAGATCATGCATATAAAGTAGTTAGTTTAGTGCCTGGAATTAGTAAGCACTCGGTTAATACATTTTTAAGTCACAAGAGGTTCTTTCCTCTCATGGCTCTCTTCCTGGGTTCTTGTCTCTTCTTTTCTGACTTGTCTGCTAGATGGGGAATGGAATCCCTGTGCTAGAATGGCTGAAGAAGCAAATTTGAAGATTCCCACAGTTAAGGGGTTTGCTGAGACTGAGATCCAAAAAAAGGAATATGAGAGAAGGTACATACGAGTATTTGGGTCACAATTAAAGGCCCTCAGAGAGCATCTTAGAGCATTAAAGAAACATCAAAATTTGACCAGGAAGAAGCTAATTGGTTAATTGAGCTCAAAGATAGTAAGAACCTATTGGAATTAAAGAGGGAGATGGAAGAGAAAAAATAGAGACCATAGAAAGAGATAAAGAGACATAATAAAAGTCTAACAATAATTAGGGAAGGGTTGGTTAAACAAAGTGAAAGTTTATTTTGGAATGAAAAAAAACAAAACCAAAACCACCCTAAAGCAGACTCCCAGGGAGGCAGCAATTTGAA